GAGAACTTCTATTTCTTTGCAGAGACCTTGTACCTTGCATTTGTTTGAGAGCATTTTCCCCCTCTGCAGCATCCATATGACATATCGTTTCAGGTTTTGTCAAATGACTCCAGCTTCCTCATCAGCCTCAACCTGGCTTATGTTTCCCCAAGCATTAGACATGTCCCTAACCATGAGCATGTACCTAATAATTGTGGATTATAGCCTGATCATCCTGAATATTATGAGACTCTGAGCCATGGCACACCCAAGATAAACAAGTAAAATATAACTTTAAAAAACTCTTTTCCTCCACAGTCTTGCTGGTGCCTTCCAGTTCTCAGGGCTTCCCTTTCAATACCCTGGGAACAGCCAGGACTTTTTCTGGGTTCTGCTGAAGACTGCTCATGTCCAAGCCCTTACCTAGGGCCAAACAGCAGAAAGACAAAGAGAAGGACTTTTACCTACCAGCACACATGTTGCCACCAGAAAGGGCCAGCTATTCCTCAGGATGCAAGTTCCTGGGACCACCACACCCCAACTCCAGTAGTTTGGTCTCTAGCCCTATGCTATCTCCCCAGCATAGTATTGGGGGGGGGCAGTGGAAGGACAGGGTCCTGGGGGATACCTTTGCTCTTCTGGCAGTCAAGGGAGCAAACTTAGCCTGGGATGAAGTAGAAGCTGTAACTGCTCATGATCTCGGTGATATTTCCCTTATCTGCCTGCTTCTGGTGACGTCACAGCTCTCACAGAGCTACTGTCTACATTCTGCCAAGTTCCAGAAAGGTGTGTGATAGGAGGACCTGGGTGCAATGTGCCGCCACCATCTGATCTGGAGCCAGATCGCACTTCTTTTTGTTTCCATGTTTTAGCTTTATTTTTTGAAAACTCATCCTAGGGACTCCTGAAGATTGGGTATCATAAGTTCAAATGGCTGTGGCCTGTGCCAGCCTCAATAAAGTTCCTTCTGAGCTACCCTTTGCTGCCAAGGGTCCCTGGGCAGAACCCTGTGTGTGGCACCTATGTGTCTGCCTAAGTGTTCCCTCCTTAAAGCATGGCCCAGGATGAACTCAAAGCTCAGTTCTGAAAGATGACATCTCCTATGGAAGTCAGAGCTTTGTGACTGAGAGAAATGATCCTGCCTGCACCCTTGGACATGCAAGCCAGACCACAGAGCAAGGTATTTTGGGTAGGGTCTAAGCTAGGTCTTGAAGGCCAGCCCTGTGACTGTTCCATACTCAAGTGGCATGTGGTAGAGACAAGGAATATCAAGGCAGCACCTGGGATGATTGGTGGAAGCCCAAGAAATGGTGGGCTCAAGAAGTAAGAGGGGCAGAGCCAGACTGCTGCCTCCTCCCACCACATCCCCAGTGTGGGATCTCCCTTATTAGAAGTAGCTGAGCTTCATGGTTCTGAGTCCAGGAGTTGAGATGACATTCCCTTTTAAGGGCATACTTCCTACTTCCTTAGCATGCATCTAAAGCCTGTGTCTTCAACACAGTACCAGTTTGGGAAGCAGCATCCTCCCGCTTCTGATGATCTCAACACCAGGTGACATTTGATATATACCTCATCTTTTACTTAGGTGACTTCATTGCATATACAAGCCATCAGAGCCATGTCCTTCAGAGAGGGAGTCTGAGGTATAGGAGAGCCTCCAGCAGAGCCTTAACCCCAGCTGCATGGACATGACAAGGTCCTGGGGCAGAGGAGCAGGCTGGGGAAAGGAAGCATTTGGAAGGGACATGTCAGAGGGGCAAGCTCGAAGAACACCATTCTGTAGCATGTAGGGACCATGTCCCACAGCATTGGAGTCACTGGCCTACTCCCTGTGGAGAGCCACACAGGGGAAAAATGGATTTCAATGGGTCCCCTAGGCTACACAACATGACTTGGCCAGCCACCAAGGATTTCTGTGGCCACATCGACCTTCAGAAATTGTAGTTTCTACATTAACATTGAACTTAAGTGATCAGATTTGCTTATGATTTAAAGATGGTCCTCAATGTAGAAATGCCAGCCCCTCCTTGCACATAAGTGCAGAGTAAATCCGACTACGTTCAGGCCTGGTCTCAAGGCATTGTCTCTGAGAGGAGCTTTCACTAATTAGTGCATTTGCTCCTTACAGGATAAAGTAGGATGTTCAGGTACATTTGAAAATGATGTGCTTGACATACATAAAACACTGCTTCCTTAAATCTACACTGTCTAGAGCCATAGTTCTCAACCTGTGGGTCATGACCCCTTTGGAGATTAAATGACCCTTTCACAGGGGTGACATATCATATATCCTGCGTATCAGATATTTACAATAAGATTCATAACAATGGCAAAATTACAGTTATTTATTAAATTATTTATTGTTGAGAGGTCACTACAATATGAAGAACTGTGTTAAAGGGTCTAAGCATTAAGAAAGTTGAGAAACACTGACTTAGTGTATTGCCTAGTGGAGGCTGTGGGCTAGTTACAAACCGGTTACCAGTCATCAGGATGCAGCTACATTGGTAAAGCGAGAGCACCTGGCTAAGATGCATAGTAACCTAGTTCAATCCCCAGTACTATATGAAGTGAAACATGGTGATGTTTATGTCTATAAATTCTATACTTAGAAGGCAGAAACAAGGGGCTGGAGAGATGGCTCAGCGGTTAAGAGCACTGACTGCTCTTCTAGAGGTCACGAGTTCAAATCCCAGCAACCACATGGTGGCTCACAACCATCTGCAATGAGATCTGATGCCCTCATATGGGTGTCTGGAGACAGCTACAGTGTACTCACATATAATAAATAAATAATCTAAAAAAAAAAAAAAAAGAAGGCAGAAACAAAGGAGTTGGGAGTTCAAGGCCAGTCTGGGCTAGATGATAAAAACAGAAACAATCTTTTTATGATAAGCTAGCAGCAATGGTGAATGTGAAGCTGTCAAGGTAGGCCAGTGGTTAAGAGCACTGGGTGCTCTTCAGGGGACCCAGGTTCAATTCCCAGCACCCACAATGCAATTTACAACAATGTTCAGTTCCAGGGGGTCCAATGCCCTTTTCAGGCTTCCATGAGCCCCAGCCGTTCTTGAGGTGCATATACATCCATATAGGTAAACACTCATACATATAAAATAAAAACAAGTATTTAAAAAGTGAACATGTTTGAGAATTTACACTGCTATCTGAAGATATAAACTTTCTAGACACTTTTACACCTGTGACAAAAGTCACTTTTACACAGTGACCTGACAGTCCTTAGTCAGTGTCCCTATGGTGGGGAGCCACGACTGTGTAGGTGCTACTGTTTCTCGCATTTACACTGAACCCAGTTAGACTTGTGTTAATCCCATCAGGTTTATTAAAGCATTAGTCTGTTCTAGAAAACACCAGCCACAGTCCTCTCTGCAGGCTGCAGCACAGGCAATAGCCACTGGTCTGCATCCTCTGAGGATGCCCAGGCTGCTTCTGCTTGCAGTGTGAGGCTGCGTCCACTGCTCCCTCCCTAGGCAGCTCCCAGGCAGCTCTCAGCCTTCCTTCTCCTCCTCTGCCCACTTCCTTTTCTTTCCTCAGACAACAGTAACAATAAGTATGATTAGCAAGGTGATTTCAGGCCCCTTTCAGAGGACAAGACAGTAAACAGAGCTTGTTTGCCTAAGGAAACCCTCCCAGCACCCAGCCACTCAAACCTCGCCTGTTAATGAACCCAGAGCCGTTAATGCGGTTTCTTCAGTTAAATTGATTCATGAATTTTGAAGAGAACATTATCTAATGAATTTTCTTTGAATAGAAAGCAATTAAAAGGACAAATCAGTCTGATTAACCCCAAAGTCACCCTCCTGCCACAAATGCTGTACAGTTTGAAATTATATCATAAAAAACTAGAGCACATTTGCTGTGTCTGTGCCCTCTACTAATCCATGTAAATTAATGAACAACAAAGTTAATTTCTTCGATGACCCTTTTCTAGTATCACCTGGATTATGCTGATGTTTAATTTGCTTAATGTTATAATAAAGACTAAACAGGGTTTTGGTTTTTTTTTTTTTCAGCGAAGTGATTATCATTCCCTTCAGTTAAGAAGTGATTTTTATTATTTAACATGCATGTAAGGGTGTGTTTCCTTTAAGGACCAAATCACACTCTACCAGCTTGGCACCAAGCGTGGCAAGCTCTGTTGAGGGTACACATTCCCAGGGTCATTCTTGCCCATGGAACTCTTCCCTCTGTTGTTCCCCAGGGATGGAGGATGTGGCTTGGCCTCCATGCTCGCCATCCAGTGTGTCTCTTCTGGAAGACAATAGGAATCCATTTGTACCAGATTCCTCCTTGTATTCTGGGCTTATGCCCTACTCAAGATACATGCAGGGAATGATTCCCAAACCCAGGGGCATCAAGGGAAACGAGCTGACCATGCCTTGCCCCAGTCATTTCTGCTACAGGACACAAAATGCACACCACTTGATATACCTCATAGAAAAAATAGGGCTCCCTGCAGCCAGGGTCACCATACAACCTGGGCATACTGGTGGAGGCATCTGGCATTCACAACAGCACAAGAGATAGTCCCCCTCACTGCTGAGTGTGGACGGTTACAGAAGGGTCCCATCTAGTCCCTAGATACGTCCTCCTCCTCTTCCAACTCAGCTGAAGTTGGAAATTAACCAGCAGTCCAAAAGGCTTGCACATAGGTGGGCCGGCAGGGACTCACCATGCCTGCTAATTGAACTGTGTGCAAAATGCTCGCGTGCCTGTTCACAGAAAGAGTATCACACACAGCCCCACACGGATCGTGAGGAAGCTAGAAGGAAATTAAAGATGCGGGAAGCCTTCCGAGGCCCGCCTGCTTTGTGCCCGCTTCACTCTCAGCTCTCCTTGCCTGAGCCGCGGTGACAGAGCACGGTGTGGAGGCCCGTGTTTTAATTGAGTGTAACAGTTCTATTTGTGCCATTGCATCTCCTGCTAGGGGACTGGCAGCTATTTATATCCGAGCTGCTGGAGCCCTTTGTCCAAATCACGTCATTCTGTTTTCTTTCTTTCAGATTCATTCACCAGACAGGTGTTATGGAAGCTGCTGAAGGTTGTGAAATTCGGAGAAATGGTTTCTTACCAGCAATTAGCAGCCCTGGCAGGCAACCCCAAAGCGGCTCGTGCAGTAGGAGGGGCAATGAGAAGCAATCCAGTAAGTTCCACAGATGAGCAGCAGGCTGGATACCTGCATCACAGGGCTTCAAACCACTCAGGGAGCCAAGTGTCATTTGAGTAAATGTATTTCAGAGACCAACTATGTGGCTGGGATCAGAGCTTGGGGTTGGCAACTGCTGTGAGAGGAACTTTCCTGTCCCAGCCACATGAGCTCTTTGTCATAGTAGCCCCTACCAGAGAGGAAGAAGCCTGGAGAGTGGCAAGCAGACAGGAGGGCAGCCTATTTATTTACTCCCCACTGGATAGTGCCCATGCTGGATGCCTATTGAGTAGCTGCCTCCTTCCATACACTGGAAATACAGCTGTACATCCAGAAGACAGGAACCATATGGCACCAGCCTTCTGAGAAGGTTTTGGTAAAATAGTACAACCCTATCTCCCTGGGTCTCTGGAGTACGATGAGCCTACATCTACTGTCCTTGGGTGTTAGCTCACCAGGAAAAGGCTCTTCCCCCACCCAGAACTCATCAGTGTTAATTTATGTTTCTTCCTACAACACTGTCAGAGTTTATTGAGCACCAGGTTCCCAGCCCACAAGAAGGTCATGCTTTTAGAGACATCCCATGGTTCCACAAATGTAGTGGGTGTTTTGGCTCAACACAGCCAAGGGTGAGACCAGGGCCTACATGTCTGTGGGCCTTTTGTGGGTGAGAAGTCATGTCATCACATAGTCCTCTGGGAGAATCCACACTGCCTCCAGGGTCCCTGAATGTCTCGAGCAGCCTCCCCAGTGGCAGTATGTATGCTGTCATGGTGTTAAAGCTATATGGGTCCCAACATGATAGAAAAAGCCACCTGATTAGAAGCGTACTTCACCTAGAAGGGACATTGAGGATCAAACATTCTGCATCTCTTTTGGGGGTTGTGTTATAGCAACATGGCTGTCCTGGAACTCTCTTTAGACTAGGCTAGAACTCACAGAGATATCTGTCTCTACCCCCTGAGTGCTGGGCCTAAAGTCATGTATCAACATACCAAGCCACAAGGCATTGGATTTGGCAGTAGATAAAGAGACAGCTCCAATACATGTGTTCTATGGCTACATGCAATGCCCCAGAAGGACAGAGAAAGGCAAGACATTGTCAACCTTTTTCTGCTGCATCCCAGTAGCTACTGTTTTAAACACCCTGACCTCTGAGTGGAGTAGGTCTTACTACACCATTCTGTCCCCAACCCCATCTGAATCTTCTAAAGGCTAAGGAAGAAGTGTGGACCTGCATTCCCCAGGCCACTTCTGCAGCAAAACACATGACTTGAGATTTATCCACTGTAAAGTTAAATTGGGAACCAAGTTGTTCTATTTTGCAAAGTTTCCTGTTTATACTCAATGTGAAGATGAAGACAACACCATCAGTGAGCACCAATATCACAGCTACCTCTCTGAGTGCAGTTAACATCTCTGCTATAAGAACAAGCCCCTCTGCCCAGTGTGTATACTGGTAGCTCTACTACATGCACTGTTGTGGTGAGTCTCCATCACACACCACCAGAATCTGTACAAGAAGGAGATACTGAGGCTTGAGGGAGAACAGTTCTAAACAGTGCTAAGCTCTGCTTGGTGCCCATCTTAGTAGGTGTTCTTCGCCCCACTGACAACAGGGCCAAGATGGGGATGGCTATGTGTCTCCTCTACCCCAATGCTGCCAAGTTGGACTAAGTTCATGGAAAACAAAGTGCTTGTGTTTCGCCTAAGTAACACCACTTGAGCTATGAGAGTGAGAGGTTATGGAATGCCCATCGCTGGAAACTGTCCTGCATCATTCCTTTGGTGGCTCACAGTAACCATGGCCTCATGCTGTGGTCTTACAGCTGCCCATTGCTCAGTTATCCCCTTCAAGAATAGAGATGGGTTTTGTAGGGTGGAGTTCCTCCATTCTGGAACTCAACTTCTCTCAAGTTTCTCAGGTGGGACTCACTGGCCTTGTCAGGAGACTGGGCAGTCTCTGGAAGGCACCACACCACTCTGCATCAGGGATGTCCAGCGCCAGAGGCTCCTCACTACCATCCCGAAATGCACACGCTCAGAGAACCCCCTTCTGCCACATCCTCAGACACAATTTGCTAAATGTAGTTCAGAGACGATCAATACAAGCTCGGGGAGTTTCCCACCTTTTTCTAAACAAACACATTCCTGAGGAGTTAGTTTATTCGCAGATTGCCATGAGCACCGATGACCCCTGAGTCCTGTTCTGCCATTCACCCAGATGGCTGTTGATAAAGATTTAGCATCATGTTCTGAGTGTCAGGGTTGTCAGCGGAGCTGAACCATTTGACCAGAAGAAAAAACCGCACCGGGAGCTATTGATTACAACTTCTCGGTGTCACTTGTTCACCAGGATTTAGGTATTGATGAGGCTGCGAGTGAAAACAAGCTTTCTCCCTTGTGGGCTCTGCCCAGAAGAACAAAGGCAAAGTTGGAAAAAAATACTCAGCCAGTACCAGAATCAGAGGGATTCCATTATTGATTGCAAGGCTCCTTCATGTTATTTTTGTTGGAGACAAATCTATGGGTTTGGAAGTTTTATAGCAGTTGAGAAAGGGCTGGTGTGAGTGATGGATCTGGGTATTGGACAAATTAGATTTCACAGCATGAAGATTTCAATGAAGCTGTAATACCATGGCTCCTTGCGTATCGATAGCAGTTGCATTGTATGTAGCAGGGGCTCTCAAGAAGAGGGCAGCAACGATATGGGTCCTTCAGATATGGCCATGGGGCCCCAAAAAATCATATGGCTGAATGCCTACTGCTAACCCAGCATGAATCAGGGCCCATCTCTAAAGGTGAGCCTGTGAGCAAGTCATCGGTCCACAGTGCATCCTGAGCCAGTGGACCTCAACACAGCACTGATCCACAGAAGGAAGCAGGGAGAGGTATGTATGGTACTCACTTTTAGAATCCCATAATCCATCGAGAGAGAAGAAAGGCGAGACCAGGTTGACTGGCACACCTGCGCCAACCAAAGCCAAAGGTTGGTTTCATCTCATGCAGTCTTCTGACTCTGTATCACTATTGTATTTTTTTTAAAGAAATAAGTCAAAGAAATGTTCCATTCTCAACATCTTTCATGGGTCCTTTCAAGGTCAAGGTCAGATGCTGTCCTCCACACACACCTGGAATTCCACTTCTCATCCCATGCAGCTCCGATATGCATAGTCAGCTACCCCACCCCCATCATATGACTGCCCATATGAATACTTTTAGCAGCAAGGAAGCAGCAACCATAGGATGCACTACTTCTGAGATAATGAGTTCAATATTTCAGATATCTGTGCCAGGCAGCTTCCTCTAGACCATCAGCTGACCCGAAGCTACTCACTATGTCCCACTCACTTCCCATGGTAGATAGAAAAGAGAGCAGTGGATTGTGGGTAGATTCTGGGCCACAGAGAAAGGAAGAGAGAAGAAAGATGGGACATAAGTGGTACTCAGCAGTGCCCGTGCAGTCCTCCCACTGGAGCTCTGCAGGAGTGGCTGTCTCACCACAGCAGAACACCTGAGATAACCTCAGACTTGCACACCTACTGTCTGCATGTTTCAGGGCAGCTCAGAACCTTCCAGAATGAGCCCCAAACCTCCAGAGCTCACTGAAGCAGATGCCCAGAACTCAGGTTGTGTTCACTGAAACTTGCCATTGCCAACAGTGACCACTGTAGGTACATCATGACCCATGTTCCCCAGGGCCCCAGTCACAGTAAGCACTATGGGATGCTGCCACCACAGTGGCTGTATGAGCCCTCATTTGGCCCTCTGGGAACTCTGTTGGGAAAAAGCTGGGTTGGGAACTACCCATTAGGATCTCAGGGCACAAATGGCCATTGAATCCATAGCATTCTCTGCAGCAGGCACATAAGACATGCTCCTTGCCAGGGCAGGTGTGCAGCCATTCCTGCCAAGCTAAGTATAGGCATGCTCTTACACTGTTGCCCACGGAGAGAAATGAGGGGAGCCCATGTGCCTGCAGCCACTGTGGGCTTTTGCAGGTTTCAAGGGGGACATCCATCTTTTTCTGCCCATGCTGTGAACTAGTGAGGAATAAAGACGCGAGGATGAAAGCTAGATAGGAGGAGATGGCACAGCCCTGATGTCTTCCCACTGATTGCTGCCAGGATGAGGTCCCGTCACCAGCCCTGCCACCTCTGACCACCCTGGCCAATGCACACATTAGCCTTCTTTGAAGAAAATTGGGGTACAGATATATCTTCTGCAGACATGCTAGCTGTTCTCATCTCTTCCTCCCCTGTGGGGCTGGAGCAGGTGAGGCCAGAAGTGTCTCTATCCACCAAGCAGAAGGGCCCCAGTAGCTGTCAACCCCCGCAGATGGTGGACCATGGACTCTCAGTCCGTATAGCCCAGCCACCTGCTTAGTGAGCTAGGCAGACAGTTATCAGTCCCCTGTGGACCACTGCTGAAATAAGCAGAGTCCCTATGCAGAAACGGGAATTCCCTCATCCTAGTGACTAGATGTCAAAGAATGAAGCCTGGACAAGGTGGCTCAACCTTGTGGCTACAGGTTTAGTTCCTTTGGTATGAACATTGCCCTGGAGCCCAGTCCCCACGAGCATCTGGCATCTAGATCTTTTGGACCCCAATGAAGATGCCTACAGGTTTTCATGGTGCCAGGCCAGGGAAATGGTGAGACAGTTGCTACCAGGGGGCTCATGAGTTACAGGCCCCTGGTTTTTAGCTTGTCGGAGTCAATAAGAAGAAACACTGGATATATTCCCCCCAATTCTTTGATTGATGCAACATTTTGCATAGCAGGTGTCTGGGCAAATGTCTCAGAACACATAGACAACACTACAGCCCAAGCATACACGTGCCTGGCCATCATCATCCTTGGTACTCTCTGACAGTCACCGTCTCCTTATATGCTTGTTTCCACTAAGAAGGGGCCTCCCTTAGAGTAAACCCATCATGTGACAGTAGAAAAACATCCATACTTAGCTTTACTCACACCATTAAGGATTGGCGAACCACCTTGGTACCTCAGACCATCTGAGTTGGGAGGGTGCAGCAGCCCTAATAAGGACTTCCTAGTCTACAGGCCTTGTTGGGACAGAGCCATACTCACCCCTGGGTATGCTGCCAATGGCAGTATATCCAGGGGAAGGCATAGACATTGGTACTTGTGAGACTCCATGGTACTTGTGAGGCTCCATATTTCCAGAAGGGAAGGAAAAAACAAACACCCAATGCACAGACATGGCATAAGCAACCTTGGCCAGCTTTGCCTGTGAAGGGCAACTAGGGAGTATTTTGTGCCTTCACAAACCAACCACATAGAGTAGCCAAAGGCATGGTCGTGTTCAAATAAAACTTTATTTAACAAAATCAGAAGCAGCAACCCCTCAGCTATGATTTGCTAACTTCTTAGGTGAACTGGGCCTGCCATTGTCCTTGAAGAGTCTAGTTACAGCTTGTCAATGACAGAGAATGTTACTTCCTGCGTAGAACTCAGAAATGCAATTTTAACTTCAGGTAAACTTGATAAATCACTTCCCAAGTGTAGTCTGGCATCCTCTTAAACCTGATACAAAGAATCCCATATCCCCCACACACCTCAGAGCAGGTGTTCCTCCTCCATACCCCCAAAGGATACCCTCAAGGCCTCTGTAGAGTGCAAAGAAGGGATACTGATGCAACCAGCATGGCCACCATGCCAGCAGCCTGCTCACTGGAGAGCTACCTGATGGTGCTGAACAGTCGTGGGGAGGACCTTGTCCATAGCACAGAAACCTCAGCCCAGAACCAGACTGACAGTGACACCCTGTTTTTCAGGTCCCCATCCTCATCCCCTGCCACAGGGTGGTTCGCAGTGATGGCACCATCGGCAATTACTCTGGAGGAGGGCAGGCTGTGAAAGAGTGGCTTCTGGCCCACGAGGGCATACCGACTGGACAGCCAGCCTCCAAGAACTTGAGTCTGACTGAGACCTTGCTCAACCCATCCTTCGAGTCTACCAGCTCCAAGCCGTGTGGCCGAAACTGAGTAACCGTTTGAATGACACATAAATGTAACACAGTGTTGGAAGCGGATGTGTGGTGGTACCACTATATTAAAAGAGCTACATGTGTCCTGAGGGACGTGGTGTGACTGCCCTTTCTTGTTTCTACATTTTACAGCAGAATGAGTTCAGACGACCCACCTCGAATATGTCATCAGTTCCCTCCTCTGACATGGTTATTGTTCTATTTTTAATGCCCATTAAAATGGGGGTGAGTGAGAAAGGCCTGGTGAGCCTTAGGGCCCCTTTGCATGAAGGGAGACACATCTGACACCTGCAGGCAACAGCTGGACACCCAGACTGTCCACACTGAACAGCTGACCCCACACTGGTAGGGCCCCCAAGTCATCCTTCAAGCCATCTACCCTGTGGAGATGGCAGCCCCCATTCAGTTCCTCCCTTGCTGGCTGCAGGAGGGACAGGCTAGCAAGTGAGTGCTTTGTTGAGGGTCTCAGTGTTGCTTCCCCATCTGCCAGGGAAGTGTCCTGTATCCACGGTGGATGCAAGATGATTAAACAGAAAAAAAATACCATCTTCCAAACACTGGTTTGGAATGCTAAATAGTAGCATTCGGGTCACCCCCAAATTCCAGCTGCCCTTTCTTTCCTTGTCTTTGAATGCTTCTAGTAGTAGGTGGAAGAGACACGGTCCCTCCTGGGAGCCTCAAGGACCAGGAACCTGTAAAGGTCCCAGCAGCCCGTGTTGATCTCATGTATTCAAGGTTATACAGTTACTCAGCTCATGCTGCCACCAGCCAGCGCTGGAGACTGTCTCCGGATCTGCCGTGAGGCACTGCATGATGCTTTACAATTACATCATCCTCCCAGCTTTAAAGTCTGCTAGTCCCAAAAAGTGAGAGGAAACTCAGCCAGGTGTATGCATAAGTAAAGCAGCATGTGATTAGAGGAACGAACCAACTGTGTAACGGAGAGCTTGGTTTTATGGTGGCCTCTCTGACAGCAGGGGCCACTCATGTCATCCAAGATGGAATCACGGCCTCTACAGAACACTCTTTGGTGCATTTGGTACTGCTTGCTACCTTGACACCCACGTAAACAAACCTCAGGCCTTTCTTCCCGGTTAACAATTTATCATGTCCTCATTTTACCTCAGCCACTCTAACTCTGGTATTTTTTGTAGAGAGCCATCACCAATACCACACTTTGTGAATTTGGTCGTCACCTATCATCACAGAGCAAGGTGAGTCTCCTTTATGTGCTGAGTCCCAAAACTCATAAGTTTTCAGGATAGGGCTGGGCATGCACCCTGGCATCCTTCCATCTGGTCTCACCAGGGTGTTTTCTGCTCATTTCCTGGAAGGACCATCTCTGTCTGACATGGCCAGCCAGACTCACAGAAAGGGCTGGGGAAATTGTATCAGAGTAATGCCACACTGGTGTCTCTCCAGCACCAGGAAGTCACTATATGTTTTTGTCCTCTGCCTATTCTCAAAGAGCCTTGTACATGTGTGTTCCAATAGAGGGCGCTGTGGCTGCAGTGTGCTGGGGAGACCCCAGCCTCCACTCTGCTTTCAGAGGAGTTGGAAGGTGGGCATCAGGGTCAAAGTCAACTGGTTTGTGTAGGTCCTCCACTATGCCGCGTGGGCCATCAGGCCAGTGCCTCGTACATAGACCTCCTGTGCCTGGGTGGCCTATGTAATGGGAGCTTTCCTTATGATCTCTACAGTTCCAAATAGATCCAGGCTCTAAGAGAAGCCTGGGGCTGTACAGATATCCACGACTGAACCCCCAGCATGGGACAGCCACATGCGGCTGGGACGCCAACCCCATCAAAGCCACAAGGGCAACCTGGCAGTTCCAGGTAGCCTGGAATGATGAGCGGGCGTGCTTGGGCCTGCCCTTGGAGCAATACGAAAGCCGTGTCTGCTCCCCTCTCCCAGGGTTTCCTCGGCGCTGTCATAACAGGTTCATAGATGCCCCGAGGTAGCCGTTGACAGCAGCAGGACTCACTGCAGTGACCGTGTACTGCTCCAAGGATAAACTCTGCAGAGGCTGACATGAAACGCCAGCACGGTCGCCTGGAGCCGCTCTGGCTCGGGGTTGCAGCACAGCTTGTGAAAATGAGAGGAAGAGGAAAGGCATAAAGAATTACAAAAATATTTTCCAAATAAAAAGAAATGTTGAAACAAGAAAGCTGTGTTCTTTGGCCTTGGCCCCCGGTCCCCCTCACCTATCAAGCCTCCATGCCCTGAGCTTCTGTGCTTTGAATGCTCACACAGAGGCCTGTGCAGCCTGTCAGCTGCTGCTGCAACCAGACTTTCTGCCGGCTACCCTGTCACCTTGCCACCTCTGTAAACTGCGGTGACCAAAGGCTCAGACCATGCATTTGGCCATGAAGGAAGCTGAAATTTGGAAAGGGGTGTTTTTCTCCCTGTCTCTTCCCTATGGAGGGTACACATGCCACCCACTAACCCATGCTCTGTGGCCTTACCAAGGGATGACTAGACAAGAATGTGAGTCTGACTTATTTTCTGCCCAAAGTAGAGAAGCTCCAATCTGGAGAAGGGTCAGTCCTGGATCTGGAAGCCGCATTCCTGTACGAGGCATTATAGGATGAAAGGGTCATTCTTCAAGGTTCTAGAGGTACAGACAGTGGGTATTTCAGGGGAGATGAAAGAATTGTTTAGAAGGTAACCGGATGTTTAACTCCCCACCAGAATGTTGTCCGGGGCTCTGCCATGTGCTAGAGATCCATACTTCTTGATATCTTCCAGTAGACCGCTCTCTTTTTTATATAGGTTCTAGAGGCTACTGCTTCCCTCTTGCCCCAAGTCCCCCTTTTTAAAAGGGACCTAGTGTGCCTTATCATTGATACAGTCATACTGAGACGTCGACATTATCAGGACAGCCTTCCCATACAAAACTCGAACTAGGTGTGGTCAGGAGCCGTGGAGGGGTTTTGAACTATCTCTGGGATAGCTTCTTGCAGATCTGCAAGTAGGTAAAATACTACATGGATTTCACTGTAACCCTGAATCTAGTCCTCAAGAACAAAATGGCTCTATGGGTCTTGGCCGCAGCTCAGACCTCAGCGCTATCAGAGTGATGAAGAATTCCAGCTGAATCTATGTGAAACCGTTCCTTTTCCTTGAGAGCATTCCAGACAGCTCAGTGTTTCTTTGGTTTCAGACATTGCATGATAGGACTCTGCAGTGACAGGCATACTGGTAGCTTAATGTGGAAGGAGAAGTTTATTTCACTGTAAAGATTTTTCTGGAAGTCCATTCAGGAAGCTAAACTTTTTGCAGCTTCCTCCTCTTGGCAGAAGTCTGGGCCCCTGTGTGTCTTGTTTGTGTGAGTCTCATAATTATATCACAGAGGGTGGGTAGAGGTCCTCGGGTAGGAAACTAAATTTCTTTGGCCTTCCCCAGGCCATCTTTGTCTGTTCTTTCTTTTCACAAACATTGTTAAAAGTTTGCATTTAAGAATCTAGAGTTTGCAGAGCACAGAGGGCCACACAGGATGGAGTTGCAGCTGTTGGTGAGGTAGATGCAGGAGGATGGTGACTTAGAGGCCTGGGTTATAGAGAAGACCTGTGTCTGACATACAAAATTAAAAAGTACAGCACTTGTGAGGCAGAGGGAGGATGGGAGGCCAGCCTGGTCTACCTAGCAAGTTCCAGGCTAGGAAGAACTACATAGGACGATGCTCCAAAACAGCAACCAAAAAAGCAAAAGGAAAAAAAACTTTTTTTTTGAAGAATCAAGTTTCTGGCGGTATCATTTGAGCAGTTTGAAAAAAGTGAGTCTGTAAAAGGCCCCTTCCTAGTCCTATTGTACCTCTGTCTGTCTTGTCTCTCTGCCTGCATGCCTGCCTGCCTGTCTAAAGCAAAGAGGAAATGTCGATCAAAAGCCAAGGCAAGAATCTGTAAGTCCAGACATGGCTCCAGGTGACCAAGGGCGGCCGTCCGGGGGCCTCAGAATCCCAGGACCCCATGGCTCCAGCTGCTGACAGATGGCAAATGCCTGGCCTCCATCACACAGGGCCTCTCCAGCAAGGATCTGTGGTGGGGTTGGGGGCCAGAGTGGATGAGGAAGTAGGAAGTAGATGCTGGGCCATGAGGTGCAAATTGACAGCAGGGCCCAGCCTGACAGCGCCTCTGATTGATGAGAGGACACTGTTAACAAGCCTTTAAAGTTTCTCATTAATGTTTTTTTTTTCCACTGAAAAGAGCCACAAGAAAAAAATTCCACATGGACGGTAATTAAGATCGATCCTGTACAGTACGGTGCTGGCGCTGTTGGGAGCCTTTAGAAGAAAGCAAACCCTCCTATTAAACACTCATTTTCAGCCTGCCAACTTCTGGGCTATTGAAGCCCCGTGCCAGGTGGGGGATTTGAATGAGGCACATTTTGTGAACTAGAGTGGTAGGCCTCACCGGTAACCCATTTTCACTGAGGACTCAGAGTGGAGCCTCTACATTTTCCTTGCCATGGTCTCTGATTTAGTGGCCCAGGAAAGGAATAATGCACCCAGGGGTGCTGAGTGACAGCAGCTCCCAGCCAGTCCCATGGAGTATCGGACCTGGCACAGCATGGTATGTGTGACACTCCAAGAGACTCAAACACTGGAGTGAGGTGGAGGCCAGAGGAAGAAGCAACAGGGTTAGGAATGGTTAGTATCTCTCTACGTATGCACACAGGACATGGCAACCCAAGTCTCCGTGCTATGCAGCCTGAGTTATGTGTGCCTTCAGGTCCATTTGTTGACTTAAATGAGTTGGAACCCAGCTGGAGAGGATGCCAGTGTCCAAATGCCCTGTGGTGTCTGACACTCTGCAGAAGTGCTATTTCCACATGTTTTGGTTGGCATGGCTACAAGAAGGTGGTGCACCTGTGAGATATTTGAAAGCTATGGATGTGGTGGGAGGTATGTGGGGTGACTTACAGTGGAGTCTATCAGGAGGCCTTCCTTGTGGGACTTGGCTCAAGAACCTCCCATTCTTGATCCTCTATGGGAAGCTGGGTTCTAGCCTGGATGAGAGAGGGTCCCCACAGAACATGAGACAATTGGCAGGGCCTTGTCTTCCAATATCTAAGAGTCAAGGAGCATTTCT